CTCTAGCCAGGGCAACAGAGCCAGACTCTGTCTCAAAAAAAAAAAAAAAAAAATTTACTATGCAGCTCTTACCATAGCAAACTTCCCTTGTGTATGTAGTGATATATACATGTACAACATATTAGGTGCACATGATTGCAAGACAGCTGCTTCATATGTTCATAACATGTATGTTTCAAATTTAATTTCTTCATTCAATTTCAATTTTAATATTATATTTATGTATCTCTTTGATGCTATTTTTCTGACCAATGTAATGGGCAAACTGATGGAATAGAAGGAATGAAGGGCATGATGTTCCCACACTGATCAGGCACTTTATTATATTAGTTTTTATTACCAACTCTCCTGTAACTTGAGAATATTAAAATGAAACTCACTGATTGGGAAACATGGTCCATACTAATCAGTATAAGTACTTGGAACCTTGCAATAACAAGGCACAGGAATGACTGAGAATTTTAACAAGAATTTCCAAATGGAGAATCCAGCCTTTGAGGGTGGATCAGCTGCTGCCTCCTTCACTGTCACCCTGCATTCCCTGGCACTTTGCTGGGCTCCCTCATTCTTCCTGTGGTGATGACTTCAGGAAATTAAAAATTCGACTTTTTAACCTGGGATTTCCTATTTTCTTTAGATTGATAGTGTGCTTATTCCAGAGAAACTGCCTAGTTTAAAAAACTGGTGTTTTTGCTTTTTATTATGATAGAAATAGAGAAGTGACCTGTTGATAGTCATATTACTTTTAGTTTATGAAACATTCATTTTGGAGCTTTAAGCTTTAATACAGAGTGAACATCATGTATCTTGGTGCCCAAGCGGGGCTCCCCTGCACCCCCACTGATAATTACTGCCATATTGTGTCTATGAACAGGTTCCTGGTATAAATTTACCCGTCAATCAACTGACCTATTTCTTCGCTGCAGTTCTCATTAGTGGTGTTGTACATGAAATTGGACATGGGATAGCAGCTATTAGGTAACAAGATTTATCTTTTTCTTTCTACTAAATGCAAAGAAGCTTTTCATTTAGAAGAGTTTATTACTAAAATCTGTTACATCTGATACTACATTTGATACTTTCACTGTTTTTCTTTCTGTGGATATTGCCCAGTGCATAGCCGTCATTTATTACTTTGAGGTAGCTTCTCTTTTATAGAGAAAATTAATATATTAATGAATATGCTCAATTAACAATGTGCATATCTGTAATCTGGTCTTTCTATCCTTTGCCCGTATGGTTAGATCCTCATGGTGCTTCAAGGTTTTTCATCCAATCCTGAAAGCTAATCTTTCTATTCATCATTGGATCAGAATGATAACCACTGCACTCAAAACCCACTCACCTTAGTACTTTCTTTAGCTTATCAGCTGAAATAATTTCCTGCTTCTGCTCATGTCCTCTGCTGGCTAGAGCAAGAATATTGAAAGCACTGGGTCTAACAAATATCATGCCTATCTAGAAACCCAAGTGGAAAGTAAGAAAAAGATGAGACCTGGGACCTGCTTTGAGTATCCTGCCCTCTTCTTGGTCTTGATTACCCACATGTATCATTGTAATTATACCTGAGCATTTAAAAGCCTACTAAACTTACAAAATTGTGATGGGAAGAGGGCACGTTGCAACTCCCCTGCCTACCCCAAGTGATAATTACTGCCATAATCAGCAAGCATGTTGATTGTGTTTTATCCTTTGGGTGTGTGGACCAGAGAAGAGATTAAGAACTGCTGTTTTAGAGAAGATTTAATCACTTCTTATTACTTTCCAGTTGCTTATGAACAAGAGTCTATTGATTGGCAATAAACCCTCATCTTCACATAGCATATACTGTTAAACAAGTGTAAGCCTCACGCCTGTAATCCTAGCACTCTGGGAGGCCGAGGCGGGAGGATCGTTTGAGCTCAGGAG